TGTAGTTATTCGATATTAAGTGAAATGTGTATGTAAATATAGTTTTATCAAAATCAATTTAATAGTTCATCCTTCAGTTTGAAGAAAGAATCATAGACAAAATGTACCTGTAATTATTTTAGCAAAATATATAACTTGGTATAATGAGTTATTCCAAAGCTGACTTTAATAATAATGTTTTTGTTGCAGAGTACTTGTCAGAGTTAACAATGATTAGTTTGCAAGCAAACTGTACAAGCGAGTTTTTTATTGTTGACCAGATTTTATCATTAAATAGAACATGTAATATAATGAAGTTGTTTAGAGATTGCTTAAGTTTTTGTTACAATTGCAAAATAATGAGTATGATTAGCAGACACCAACAATACTTAACAAACCAAAGTAAGTATAAATAAGTACGTTTAATTTTTTTAAGAAAAATAGTGCTTAATAGAGATTTTATCGTCATTATATTAGTCTGATTCATTTAACTGACAAACATATACTTAGATACAGATGAGTCAATATTCATATATTGGCTTCATATTGACTCACCGTTCGATTCTATGAATGAATATATGAGCAAGCACCTAGTGTAAGTATTTATGTTTCCACTATATATATATATATATATATATATATCGTAATAAAAGGAACAATGACCAGCAAAAGAAAACAAGTATGGCCAGCATTGTTATACAAGATTATATTCTCCTCTTGTGGGGAGATACTCGTGTCCAGCAGTGGAACGTTAATAGGTTGTGAAGGTAAGGTAGCCAATTATATCCAAACCATGCGAGATATTCCACAGCAATATTGAAGAGTTCTTGAAGTAGTTATTTTAATTAAATTTGGTTTCCCGTGTTGGTTAAGGTGAGGACTCAGATAATGAATCAACCCCAAGACTGGTTTGCAAATATTTATATAGAAAAGTTCATAGAATACACAATTTTATTGGATATTTTATTGTTGTAGCGCTTATCAATTTCTATAAGTCGGTTCAGTTTATACTTTTTAATAATATTTTGATTTATTTTCTGAAATGATTATGTAAATATTAGTGTAAATTTTATTCACCTTTTTTATTAGTTACATTACGGATAATGTATGCTTTAAAAATTATATAATATTTTGCTTACATATTACTTATGTGTACATAACTAATTTATTGGTGATAAGTATCTATTCAAAATAATTTTGTTTTATTTTAAATATAAGCACGATTTTTTATTTCATTATTGATCTTTTGATATTCAAATTTTTAATATAAAACAATCCATAAAAAAAAATCAAATAACTGCTTACGAAATATAATACTATTTTAATCAGTATTTACTTAGTTGATAGATTGAAGGATATTATAAAACTAGTTTTAAATAATAATTGTCACAATACTGCCACACATTGTCACCGTAGAAGGCTCGTTACTCTGTTTATTTATCCTTGGGCAGGCTCTATTATAACAAATTATATTAGTTATTTTTAATTTATGATACATAACTGTTTTATTACTGTTCGAATCATGTAAACATATTTTTTGGTATGTGAATTAATTGATTGAATACATTTAATTTTAAATAGCCTTTTTATTAGATAATCATGTATTTGGAGATCTATTGTCATTTATATTTTTTTCTTAAATGCGTATAAGTTAGTATAAATATAAACTGTTTGCGCAATATGTATCTAAGAATGAGAATGATACATTAATCATTAAGAAAGCATTTGAATGTAATATATCTATTGGTTAGTTACTTATTAGTATATTGAATGTTGGTGCACGCGTGGGATGTGTAGGCGCGGAATAGCCTTGCAGTGCCAACACGCCGTCATTGCCGCCGATTGGCATTGTAGGTTTGTCGTCTCTATGTTATGTTACGTATTTGAATAGTATCTGCGTGTCCTGAATAATATAATATCCATAGTAGTTTGAAACTATTGCAGATTATGGTTTTGTGGATTTATATTCAATACTTGATACCATAAACTGTGTAATACAATTCGTATCAAATAATTAGAATAATTATAGAAAAATCAAAGCTGTAGTTAAAAGGAACCAGTAATTGATGAAGGAAAAAGGTTCTCGAGTGTTGACTTCGTACAGGCAAATTCAATATACTGAGAAACAGGGCACGAGATAAAGACATGTTGTATAAAAGTCGTTTGCTTGAGCGCCTCTTTTTCGAGTTTCTGCCGTGAAGAAGTTGTATTTGAGTAGCTGTGTTTTTACTTGAAGGGTGGAATATGGTAGTGTAATTACAGAGTACGGCGATGCCTCTGTACCTTAGTCTTCAGGAATGACAACGCATGAACATTATTATAAGTGTCACAGTATACTCTGTTATTTCCATGGTACTGTTCATGTCTTTAGGCAACTGTTACCACTTTTCATCAAGAGGGCCGTCAGCTTGCTTGTCATTCTAAGTAGCATTAAAAAAAAGATTGAGTAACGACCTCAAAAATATTGTATTGAATAGAATGCTCGTACACGAAGTTTTTATTAGATACAATTAAAATATATTTATAGTTGTTTCTATTTTTATATTTTCATTTATAGAATCCATGTAAATATTTAAGGAAAAAGGAACACCAAAAAACAACAGTGTGTAGAGGCGTATAAAAATTGTGATGCCATTTATACAGCTGTGGCGCTGAACAGGTTGCTCTTAGTTAATTTACATAAGTATGCATAACTATACTAACGTATTCTGTAGTACGAGTACACAGTGTCTCCACAAACACAATACTTTATGTTACGAGTAGTCTACCTAACAAAGTGTCATTCTCTTCGTAAACTTACTTAGTTTGATTAAACAGTTGAGTTCGTAATATTCAAACCATTTTATGTAAACATGTTAGACTTACTTTCATATGTGAAAAATTAGGCCATGCCTGTGGTGAATTGAGTATAAACCGTAAAATAATTCTTATGGTTACCACAAGTAATATTAAGAAAGCAATTGTTTTTGGAACATTGGAGTTACTCCAAAGAAATATAACTATATTTCTTAACCATTAATCTTTTAATAACGATCAAGTGTTTTGGATATAGATAAATAAACATTAGATTTATGATTAGACTAATAAAATTCCTGATTTTGAAAGAGTTAATATAATTTGACACAGATATTAAGTGTATTTTCCGTAGTATATATTTATTTATTTGGAGTATCAATTTAATATGATGTCAGGATTTATTTTTACAGCTAGATGTTAGTTAGTATTTTTATGTATTGCATTTAAACTCGAGTGATCTTCTGAAAAAGATATACTCTTAAAAGAAACAAAGTATTATCATCTACTAAATATTTTAATTGCTGTATAATACTTAAGTCTATAATTATTTTTTTTAAAGCCACATACTGAACTTAAGGAAACAGATAAATGTAATGAAATGTTCTCGGTAGTCTTACCGTACAAATACATAAATGATAAACTTTTATAGCTATGCACCAGAAATAGTACTGTATATAACTATAATAACAATAGATAATAAATAAAAGAAAGCAATGGAATCAACTTTACCGTTCGAGAGCATGATATCAATTTCAACGAAATGAATATAATTGAGAGAACTATTTATAAAGTCTGGATTGCATTAAGTGAGCGATTTTGGCTATTGTTTAATGTTAGCTATATTATTTACGTACGTGTTTTTACAGGACAATGGTTGTAAAAAATGAATTTTTCATTTAACCAATTTATAAATGAGTCTAGTTTATAGGTAATTAAATTATTATTATTAATCTTATGATACAGGTAAAATGTTAGTGTCAATATTTTTAGACAATTGGAATAACACATAAGATGACATTTCGTATTTAAAATTGTAATCGTCATATATATATATATATATGGAAAACAACATGGACATCAAAGGAAGTACAATACCTCCATATCTCCACAATCTCGTACCGTCCTAAGTGGTAAGGTATTATACATCTTGTTTTAGTATTTATACTGCAATTTTATAGTCCTTAGACCAAATTGCAACAAATTATTTATAGATACTTTATAGAAAAAATATAATACTGTGATATTTATGCAACAGATCTACATAAAAATTCCATCGTCAAGTTTTTATTTGTATTTATGGTAGGATATCTGTCACAATCAGTGTGAAGTGTGAAGAACATATATCTATATTGCTACCTGTACTCAGTTATAAAGATCTACCTATTATAAATTTTACCAAGTGCCGATTCCAGCGTTGACATAGCGACATGATTGCTAAATGTACATTAATAATGTTATGTTTGAAAAATATGTACGTATTGTATTTTTTATATTGTTTAAACGTATTACATATATTCTTTATTATTTTAATCATATTACTACATCTACGAAATAAACTCCAAATCTCAAGCAATGTCAATGATATCTATTCACGTTACTAGACAAATTTTATCATAAATATATAATTACTTTATAGCTCAAAGGTTAGTTTTTATGCATATTATAAGAACAGAAACAACTAAGTTCATAATCACAATTAAGACCTATAAATCTCCCGTCATTTGTTATTAAACCGGATCCATATATATTCAAGGTTATACTTATACTATATTACGGGAATACGTAATAAGGATAATTATTTTATAAATCTGCAAGAATATTATCTTCGATATTTGGCGATAAAAATATTTCTGACGACCTGCTTACTTAATCTACGGAAATATAAATAATAAATAAATAAACAAATGGTAAAGTATTCTTAAACAGTTATTAATTTATAACTAATTTGTCAAAGGCAAAAAGTACAAATACCAAATCAAGCTATGACCTTCAAGAGAAAAACTTTTATAACTTCAAAATACTAGTAGCAACCGTACTTATATTATTGAGTGTTAATTTGGTACAAGGATTATAAAATGATTTCATAAACACAGTAGGTAGGTAGATCAATAGTCCAAATATGTGCATGTCATTGAGTAATCATTACGAATTCTGAGAAGATAATAAAGTGGAACTTGTTGAGCACCAGCCACCAGTTGGTATTGTATGAGAAATAGTTATATTACCTGCGCACTTGTCGCCAGCAGGTAGCTGGCGAAGAGGCAAGTCCACACGAGCCACATTATGGTTCACTTGACAGCTGTCACGGAGTTTCTGACACTTAGTTATAGTGGTTGTGGTCGGCGAGGCGTCAGCGCGGCATGGCGTACCGGTCGGAGCGCGGGACGCAGCGACACTGCCGCTCCAAGCGTCGACCACACCAAGTTACAAGAACAACAAACTTTACTTTCTGTGATCGGGCGTGTGTACATGTATTTTGTAGTAGAGTTAATAGTATTTTAACGGACTTCAAAAAGTTCAATTTCTTTTTTAATGTTATCTATCTACATATTATATATGTTTGAATTGTGGATATGTAATAAGGGAAGGATACTTTTTAAAAATATATGCACAATTTTCTTGACGACCAATTTTCGAGCATTGGTCTTCTTTTATCATAATTCATAAAAATCGTTTAAAAAGGCGACCAAAACTAATAGTATGTACACAAATAAATACTTTTATTATTTGAGTAACATTAATAGTTAGGTATACAGTGTGGACGAGGCTTCGCTACGCAACGCTGCGTCGCGTCGGCGGGTTGCAAGCATTACAACACACGCACACAGTCATCAGTCATCTGTATTATATACATACACTTGCACACGCCGCCAGGTAAACCACCGGATCCTTTTGATAATCCTTCTGTCTGACTTACACCTTTTTACTTTTATTATACTCTGCTACAGCTCGAATGTGTATAAAAGCGCCCTAGTTTGACCAAAGGTTATTTTAGTAAAGGTCAAACAACCTATATAGGGTATATTTATACAAAATGAAGTTTGTGTGGTGTATTGTATTACGTGTTACATTAATTGCGTAGGAAATGCTACGAAAAGTGTAGTACTTGTAGAAGAATTCAACGCGCTTCCGCGTAGAGATTAGTCATTTATTATTATGGTAAAATATTTATATAAAACTACATGCATATTTTTAATCGTCAGAATATAGGTAGAAGAAAGATATTGAATCTTATATTCTACTAATTCAATGTGACTTACAATTTAGATATATTAAATAATTGTTTATTATAATGAAGAGAGCTTCGTACTTTCTTTTTATCACTATCACTACATAGTATAAAACAAAGTCGCTGTCGCTGTCTGTCCCTCTCTATGTATGCTTAAATCCTTCAAACTACACAACAGATTTTGAAGCGATTTTTTTAATAGATAGAGTGATTCAAGAGGAAGGTTTATATGTATAATGCATGCAAAATATTGTAGAGAAATACTTATAAATTTAGTGGTTTCTAATGTGATGTCATAAAGAAACACATTTTTTGCGCTTACATTGCAAACACTGGCTGAACCCCACGAGATAAATCAAAATAATGTACTACAATATTGTACACCTTAAAAAGGTCAACAAAAAAGTCCGTGATGATATATGTCTATCTCTTAAGGATAATCCACAATAAATATTTTTTATCCTTTACATTTTACGGGAAAAAATGATGATTTTAAGTAATATAACATTAATTTGTATCCAATTAAGTACCTTAAATACTATGTCCATTTCAGATAGATTAATATGGCCCTTTACAGTATGTAATTTAAATGAATAGTATCAGCATTGCACCCGTGCGAATCCGGGGCGTGTCGCTAGTACTATTATAATTTGTCGTGTGGTCGATATCAAAAACATTGTGTATCAATTTAAATTAGAAAATTCTTATAACAAATTACTCGTAAGTGCAGTGGTAATAGTCTACAAACATTTCTAACTAATTTTTAATGGAGTATTAGAGGATTACTGTCGTGAACATATTTATTTTAGTTTATAATTTAATCTATGTATATGAAGTTCCACATAATACAAGTACCATCGTAATTCAGTTGTCGCTGAAATAATATCGTATTTATGACATTGAAAAATTTAACTGAAGGTTAAATAAAGGGTAAATTAGGCTATCCAAAATTGGTTTTAAATTTACGAACTGAGAATGATACCTTTCATGAAAATCAAATCTTAAAAAAAGAAACGGTTTTTAGCGTTCTATTAGATATTCAGCTTCATGAATACTGTTGCTGGACTTTTAGCCTTTTTTGAGAAAATATATGTAGGTATCAACATATATACATTATATTTTGAAAAATGTTAAATTAAAAGTAATAATGAAGACAATAGTTCTAAATAGGAATACGAGTACAGAGGAATTTTGTCGATTGTAAAATATTAGCTGTAATATATTAACTGGTATTTAACAATTGACAAAATTTCGAAATTTGGTCAAAAGCAAAACTCAGCATTCATATTTTCTGAAACTAACGAAACTAAATAAGAACAACGATTTTTGACTTTTCAAACTTAAAGAGCTTTAAAGATAAGGATAAGTTTTCCTTACTCGGTATATTTTTTAGGTAAATAACTGCGTTAGCTGTAGGTGTTATTATTAAACATTTTTCACATATTTTTAATCGAAATAACAGTATAAAATAAATAGAATAATGAATAGATCTTTATCTTAACTGTTTAACAGTAGTAACTGTATAATTACGAAAAATATAATTTTATTTTAAACATATTGCTATATCTAATATTTGTCTCTTTGTTAGGTTTAGGTACATTTTAAACAATTATTCCATTGCATGGCAGGTATGTTTGTATGCATCCGTTTGCATTTGCCCATATAAATTGGAACAAGATTATTCTTTTTGTTAATTCTAATGATACATTATCCATTACAGCTTACTGAACTAGTTAATATTTTGATTTTCGGTGTTAGATTTAATTCGGTACCGGTATTTCATTTATATGTTAGGCAGTAATTGGCACAGTTTAGTCCTGTGTTTGTTGTGTACTAATTTGGTACGAGTAATTTTTTTTATTTGTTTATAGGGATATATTTTGGTCTGCTATTTAAAATTTTATTCAGATGTGTTTAGCTATTGATATCTAAACATTTTGACATTGGTATTTTTATATCTTACAAAGAGCAACCTAAACCCATTACTTTATTTAAAATCAATTGAGCTGTTAAAGTTAGCCCGAATATTTTAGAAGCTTTACACTTTACCATTCTGCTAAGAAGGATTTGAAGAACAGGACACCTTATATTTTTCATACGTCATCTATCGTAGAATGAAGGGAGACTATACACATAAAGTATAGTCACAACTACAATTAGGTGCAAAGGTGGCGCTGGCAACGCACGGCACGTTGCCGCCCAAAATCAATATCCAGCCGGCGTGCGCCGTCCCGCCGATTTTCATCAGTCTTACAGAAGGTTCTCCTTACTAACGCCATTTCTACGTTTGGTTTCGCGCAACCAGTGCTTGGTACCTGAACTGTACCATTTTCGGACGTATCCCCTTAATTCGTGAGTATACTTCTTATAAATTAATTTGCTTTTTAAATTTAGAATCTTTTCTAATATTATGAATCATTTATAAGTTTATCTTCATTCATAAAGCTCTATATAAGTAGCGCAAACCTCAAAATGGCTAGAATTATAGTATTACGAAATGGATTTTATTACAGTAGATATATAGGGCGGAGATTGACCTCGTAGCACTTGCTAAGCGTTTTTCTTAATTTTGAATGAAATTAAGTGAATTAAACTAAGTTATATGTACATATATGTATGAAAAATACGAGGCTTTGTTTTAATGTAAATGGAAAAATGATAGTAAATTGTACAGTTTAAAAAATCATGTTAACAAATGTAATAACATTCCCTTTTTATTATTCTTTAAACCTATATAATTTTATTTTTCATTTTCACATGTTTTCGAATTTTATGCATGAGTATATAGTTACAATGAATAAAGTCTCCACCTTGATCTTTGATTAAAAAGTGTGAAAGATTAGGTAATTGTGGAATATGATATAGTAGATAGATTCTAGATCGCCAAATATATATTTTATCGCAATTTACGTTTGTATAGTTTCATTAGCAATATAAATTTTATGACATTTTATTCCAGCAATAAAGTGTATGAATGTTAAAAGATTTAAAAGTATATAGCCAGATAATAGGCAGCTATTGTAAAGATTTGCCTTGTAGTTGTACAAAAACGTAATCAACGTCTCTGGAGAATTGGCAGTAGAATGAAAAAAGAGAAATTGTAATTTTACGTAACCAATTTCTTATTTTAATACAGGTAATTTTCCTTCTACACGAGTATAAGAATAGAAGGAAAATTTTGGGTTTCACCTTAGTTAATATATTTACCCAGTATATATTGTTAGTGATGACTTATGAAACCATATACGAGTATGTATGGACATAGCTCTGCATGGCTAGTCGAATGCAGAAATTCCTATATTCTTATTAAGCTGTGCAGAGGGATGTGGAATTTCAAATTGTGATAAAATATGAAAGAAGCATATAGGGCCGGTTATATATCTTGAAGTATCGACATATGATGGGGAATAAAGGTTCTTGAGCGACGATTCCGTCCAGGCAATACAAATCCACACAAGTCCTACGGCAAACATCACTTACTAATATAGTATAATGATCATAACTTATAAGTTACTTCCTTTTTTAAAATGGGCGATTGTGTCCATTACACATTAATAGGATTCCCAATTTTTAAGGTTTTAACAAAGTAGTTCATCTAAATATAATAATAAGCGGAGTCTTTAAAATTTTATTTTGTTTTATTTCGTTACAGTATCACAGTTACTATGATGATATAGAAAATGTAACGCGACTAATAATAGCTATGTTCGACACATTTTCTCACTGTGAAGTCTATTGCTGCACACAAAGAGTTGTTCTATGTGTGTAAGTAGCTTTAAGATGTATGTAATATTGTGTTCAGAAACGAAAAATATATACTAATGTATATATTTTTCGTTTACATAATTGTAATGAGTAAAATTATAGGATAAAATATAAACTTAGTGTTCCTAATTCTATTTAATGCCAAACTTATTTTGAAAATGTAATCGTTTTTGTTTTTTTTTTTTGTGTGGATTTTCAATATCACTTTTAAAGATATAAAACTCTCATGCGATGAGTTTTACTTACACTTGATCACTTTTTATATGTAATACATAGCCATTTAACTGCATAGTAATGGACTGTGAATAATATCACTGATGATTAAATCAAAGTCTATTGGAACTATCAAGTATAAAAAATAGGTTCATTATCATGAGTAAAATATAGTATTATGACATAAAGTGAGATAACAACATTATC